CGGCGTAATTTGACTCCAAAAAAGCTGAAACTCCGCATTCTGAAATTTCATTCGATTATGGTTCGAACGGTGTATGCCACGTCCCTTCACTCCGACATCACTAATTCACTTTTTTCTAAACACTTTTCTAGTACAATATCAAAGTTTTTCGCTCGCTACCGGCGTAATTTGACTCCAAAAAAGCTGAAACTCCGCATTCTGAAATTTCATTCGATTATGGTTCGAACGGTGTATGCCACGTCCCTTCACTCCGACATCGCTAATTCACTTTTTTTCTAAACACTTTTCTAGTACAATATCAAAGTTTTCCGCTCGCTACCGGCGTAATTTGACTCCAAAAAAGCTGAAACTCCGCATTCTGAAATTTCATTCGATTATGGTTCGAACGGTGTATGCCACGTCCCTTCACTCCGACATCACTAATTCACTTTTTTCTAAACACTTTTCTAGTACAATATCAAAGTTTTTCGCTCGCTACCGGCGTAATTTGACTCCAAAAAAGCTGAAACTCCGCATTCTGAAATTTCATTCGATTATGGTTCGAACGGTGTATGCCACGTCCCTTCACTCCGACATCGCTAATTCACTTTTTTCTAAACACTTGTCTAGTACAATATCAAAGTTTTTCGCTCGCTACCGGCGTAATTTGACTCCAAAAAAGCTGAAACTCCGCATTCTGAAATTTCATTCGATTATGGTTCGAACGGTGCATGCCACGTCCCTTCACTCCGACATCGCTAATTCACTTTTTTCTAAACACTTTTCTAGTATAATATCAAAGTTTTTCGCTCACTACCGGCGTAATTTGACTCCAAAGTAGCTGAAACTCCGCATTCTGAAATTTCATTCGATTATGGTTCGAACGGTGTATGCCACGTCCCTTCACTCCGACATCGCTAATTCACTTTTTTTCTAAACACTTTTCTAGTACAATATCAAAGTTTTTCGCTCGCTACCGGCGTAATTTGACTCCAAAAAAGCTGAAACTCCGCATTCTGAAATTTCATTCGATTATGGTTCGAACGGTGTATGCCACGTCCCTTCACTCCGACATCGCTAATTCACTTTTTTCTAAACACTTTTCTAGTACAATATCAAAGTTTTCCGCTCGCTACCGGCGTAATTTGACTCCAAAAAAGCTGAAACTCCGCATTCTGAAATTTCATTCGATTATGGTTCGAACGGTGTATGCCACGTCCCTTCACTCCGACATCGCTAATTCACTTTTTTTCTAAACACTTTTCTAGTACAATATCAAAGTTTTTCGCTCGCTACCGGCGTAATTTGACTCCAAAAAAGCTGAAACTCCGCATTCTGAAATTTCATTCGATTATGGTTCGAACGGTGTATGCCACGTCCCTTCACTCCGACATCGCTAATTCACTTTTTTTCTAAACACTTTTCTAGTACAATATCAAAGTTTTCCGCTCGCTACCGGCGTAATTTGACTCCAAAAAAGCTGAAACTCCGCATTCTGAAATTTCATTCGATTATGGTTCGAACGGTGTATGCCACGTCCCTTCACTCCGACATCACTAATTCACTTTTTTCTAAACACTTTTCTAGTACAATATCAAAGTTTTTCGCTCGCTACCGGCGTAATTTGACTCCAAAAAAGCTGAAACTCCGCATTCTGAAATTTCATTCGATTATGGTTCGAACGGTGTATGCCACGTCCCTTCACTCCGACATCGCTAATTCACTTTTTTTCTAAACACTTTTCTAGTACAATATCAAAGTTTTCCGCTCGCTACCGGCGTAATTTGACTCCAAAAAAGCTGAAACTCCGCATTCTGAAATTTCATTCGATTATGGTTCGAACGGTGTATGCCACGTCCCTTCACTCCGACATCGCTAATTCACTTTTTTTCTAAACACTTTTCTAGTATAATATCAAAGTTTTTCGCTCGCTACCGGCGTAATTTGACTCCAAAAAAGCTGAAACTCCGCATTCTGAAATCTCATTCGATTATGGTTCGAACGGTGTATGCCACGTCCCTTCACTCCGACATCGCTAATTCACTTTTTTTCTAAACACTTTTCTAGTACAATATCAAAGTTTTTCGCTCGCTACCGGCGTAATTTTACTCCAAAGAAGCTGAAACTCCGCATTCTGAAATTTCATTCGATTATGGTTCGAACGGTGTATGCCACGTCCCTTCACTCCGACATCACTAATTCACTTTTTTTCTAAACACTTTTCTAGTACAATATCAAAGTTTTTCGCTCGCTACCGGCGTAATTTGACTCCAAAAAAGCTGAAACTCCGCATTCTGAAATTTCATTCGATTATGGTTCGAACGGTGTATGCCACGTCCCTTCACTCCGACATCACTAATTCACTTTTTTCTAAACACTTTTCTAGTACAATATCAAAGTTTTCCGCTCGCTACCGGCGTAATTTGACTCCAAAGAAGCTGAAACTCCGCATTCTGAAATTTCATTCGATTATGGTTCGAACGGTGTATGCCACGTCCCTTCACTCCGACATCACTAATTCACTTTTTTTCTAAACACTTTTCTAGTACAATATCAAAGTTTTCCGCTCGCTACCGGCGTAATTTGACTCCAAAAAAGCTGAAACTCCGCATTCTGAAATTTCATTCGATTATGGTTCGAACGGTGTATGCCACGTCCCTTCACTCCGACATCGCTAATTCACTTTTTTTCTAAACACTTTTCTAGTACAATATCAAAGTTTTCCGCTCGCTACCGGCGTAATTTGACTCCAAAAAAGCTGAAACTCCGCATTCTGAAATTTCATTCGATTATGGTTCGAACGGTGTATGCCACGTCCCTTCACTCCGACATCGCTAATTCACTTTTTTTCTAAACACTTTTCTAGTACAATATCAAAGTTTTCCGCTCGCTACCGGCGTAATTTGACTCCAAAAAAGCTGAAACTCCGCATTCTGAAATTTCATTCGATTATGGTTCGAACGGTGTATGCCACGTCCCTTCACTCCGACATCGCTAATTCACTTTTTTTCTAAACACTTTTCTAGTACAATATCAAAGTTTTCCGCTCGCTACCGGCGTAATTTGACTCCAAAAAAGCTGAAACTCCGCATTCTGAAATTTCATTCGATTATGGTTCGAACGGTGTATGCCACGTCCCTTCACTCCGACATCGCTAATTCACTTTTTTCTAAACACTTTTCTAGTACAATATCAAAGTTTTCCGCTCGCTACCGGCGTAATTTGACTCCAAAAAAGCTGAAACTCCGCATTCTGAAATTTCATTCGATTATGGTTCGAACGGTGTATGCCACGTCCCTTCACTCCGACATCGCTAATTCACTTTTTTTCTAAACACTTTTCTAGTACAATATCAAAGTTTTCCGCTCGCTACCGGCGTAATTTGACTCCAAAGAAGCTGAAACTCCGCATTCTGAAATTTCATTCGATTATGGTTCGAACGGTGTATGCCACGTCCCTTCACTCCGACATCGCTAATTCACTTTTTTTCTAAACACTTTTCTAGTATAATATCAAAGTTTTTCGCTCGCTACCGGCGTAATTTGACTCCAAAAAAGCTGAAACTCCGCATTCTGAAATCTCATTCGATTATGGTTCGAACGGTGTATGCCACGTCCCTTCACTCCGACATCGCTAATTCACTTTTTTTCTAAACACTTTTCTAGTACAATATCAAAGTTTTTCGCTCGCTACCGGCGTAATTTTACTCCAAAGAAGCTGAAACTCCGCATTCTGAAATTTCATTCGATTATGGTTCGAACGGTGTATGCCACGTCCCTTCACTCCGACATCGCTAATTCACTTTTTTCTAAACACTTTTCTAGTACAATATCAAAGTTTTTCGCTCGCTACCGGCGTAATTTGACTCCAAAGTAGCTGAAACTCCGCATTCTGAAATTTCATTCGATTATGGTTCGAACGGTGTATGCCACGTCCCTTCACTCCGACATCGCTAATTCACTTTTTTTCTAAACACTTTTCTAGTACAATATCAAAGTTTTCCGCTCGCTACCGGCGTAATTTGACTCCAAAGAAGCTGAAACTCCGCATTCTGAAATTTCATTCGATTATGGTTCGAACGGTGTATGCCACGTCCCTTCACTCCGACATCGCTAATGTTATAAGTCGGATACCCCTCTGAAAGGTACGACTCTTGTACTCACCTGCACCGGGGAGAGCGTCTTCAGTCTTCCCCGAGTTCTCCTCTTAGCCCATCCAGGGTGACATCAGCGGATACTCAAGTTAACGGGGTCTATTCTTATACTCGAACTACACTTACAATCTTCCAATCAATTACAACAATTATGTTTATTTAAAAGCTACCGTATACAAATAGACTAAAGTCCCCTTTCAAAGTACGTTCCCCTTCTTCCCCCCCCCCCCCCCCCGTTCTTTTTGGAACGGGGTCAGACTTAAATATTGAGAGAGGGAAAAGGGGCGGGGTCGGACGCACGGCGGTCGCACGCCGTAACATCCTTCCCCCCTAGGAGTTTGAGTGCTCCGCACTCAAGACAAATATCTTACAACAGATTAAACATATCCTACTTAAACTTTAAATTTCATTAGATATTGTCTATCTACATGTATAACATAAACTTTAAACAATACTGAAAAATGAAAGTAACGTTATGGAAAGTTCCAGAAAAAAATGAAGTTAAAGAAAGTTTTCGAAATTCCCGTAGGAATACGCGTGTTTTCTCTCACCAAGGGTTCCTTGTTCTTGATACGCGAATGACGATTTCAGGACTTTTCAGTGGCTTCTTCCGTGCTCGCAAGCTCACTCTACGTCGTGCTTTCCAACGTTTTGCACTTGGACGATCCTGGAGTGTGGGAGCTCTGATTCCTGATCTCATTCTCCGGTTACAAGCCAAGACCTTGTGTTGAAAACAGTTGTATCCCCATGGTAAAGACTGAAATGATTAGAAAATTACAACGAGAATTAAATCCGGTTTAAAACAAGAAAAATGACTACTCGAGAAAAATGCTTTTGTTTTATGATGACAGGTTGATATCCTCTCCCTCTATTCAGTTGAATTTGCGTCCCGCGAATTTTGAGCTGCGAGGCGCGTTGAGCGCCGCGGGCCTTCTGTCGGCGCTTTTGATCGATTCTTGGTTGGCCGTCTCTGTGTCGGTCGGATTAATTTGGTCAGCTGGCTCGGGTCGCTTCGGATTATATCCCTTTCTCCCTTTCTCTCTTCTTTTCGACTTGGCGCTGGGTTGGTGAGGTTGGGGATGGGTTTGGGTTGGTCCTCAAAGTAACGCTTCAGTTTTGTCATATGGATGCGCATTTTGGGTCCCTGTGGCAGTGCTTGGATGACAGCATTGGGTGGTCGTACTTCCAGGATACTGTACGGCCCGACAAATTTTGGCGTGAATTTATGGGGCCTCGCTGTCTTTGTATTTTCCAATCTTCGTAGTACCATGTCGCCTTTATGGAATTCTGAAACGAGAGTATTATTGTTTGACTTACTTTTCCATCTTTCCTTTTCTTCATCGAGCAATTCTGCTGCTTGTCTCCATGCTTTTTCCATACTCAATGCGATTTTTTCCGTCTCAAGTCCAAGTTCCGACAACAATGAAGGTAGTCGCCGGGCAATCTCCGTGTCCACGGGTAACCGTGGTCGTCGCCCGTACAAAATCTCATATGGTGACATCTTCGTGATGGGGTTTATGCTGGTATTGTAGGCGTAGCATGTGAGTTGCGCAATCTCGTACCAGTTAGTTCCGCTGTGTTGCGTGTAATGCGCCATCATATTGGCTAAAATTGCATTAGTTCTCTCTACTTGTCCATTTGATTGCGGGTGGTACGGCGTGATGAAGGTATGCTCCATTCCCAGCTGGCATGCCATTTGCTGAAATATATCGTTAGCGAATTCCGTCCCATTGTCGGTTACCAGCCGCAGTGGGATACCATAAACCGCTACAAAATTTTTGAGAAAGGTATTTGCAATTGTTTTGGCGGACTTATCCGGGATGGGGAATGCGGAAATCCACTTCGACAATGGATCCGACAAAACCATTAGGTAACGATTTCCCGCCATTGTGACAGGCAAAGGTCCTTGCAGGTCTAGGTGGATGCGGTTGTGTTGACCGCGCGGTAACAAAAGTTCCCGAGGTCGATTCGGACTCGTCCGGTTCCTCGGCTCTTCTCCCAAACCGAAATTTGCGCAACAACGTTGCGGGACGAATCCGTCGTATGACTGATTTATCTTCCTCCGAAAGGCTCTCTTCGAAGTTGATGACAGTTGGTGGCCTGTGGTACTCCGCTGTTGGTTCCGCTGTAAGTTCGGGCTTTCTCTTGAAGGGTCTTGGAGTCATTCAAGGTATTTGGACAGTTGGTGTCGTTCTTTGTTTATGACCTTTACTAGCAGTAGTATAGGTCTGAGAGGGTATTCTGACACGATAAAATAACAAATTTGTTTTACTTTTTTCTTTTCTGTTTATTTGTATTTAGGGTTGGGTTATTTCGGATTATTTACTTTTCGTAAAATCAATAGGCCAAAAGAGTTACAAACTGGGTATCTCTTTTTTTTTCCACTAAGCAAATACTCTCTTTACTATAAATGAAAGGTTCACTGACTGCTTGCCTTTTAGGACTGATGAGGTTATTACAAACAAACTTCGTCTTTCGTATAAAAATTTTAATAAAATTATTGGGGTTATTTTTTCTTTGGATTTTTTTGAAGTATTTATATTTTAGTTTTGGAGTATTTATTTATTTTATTTTTTTGTTTTATTCTCGCGACTTTATTCGCAAGAGATAACAGAGATAAGATACGAAATGACACCGCGAAATCTCGAAAGCAATGGACCAAATTAACAAGTATGACGACTTAGTAAAAACAATAAAAATAAACAAGTGGCTTGGCCCCCTAGCCTGGGGTTGCCTTACGTCCCCTTGTCTTGCCGCTCTCAGTAGGGATAGGTAGTTACCGTATGCGAAAACGAACGAAATTTTATCTTCACTTTTTGTTATCTATCGGGGTAAAGTTGGGTTGAGAGCGCTCTGCGGGTTGCAATCTACCAGAACTGGTGGCTATACACTGCCGAGGCGAGCTTTATAAAGTACGACCATTTTTTCCGTGCAATTTTGGAGTGAAACTCCGCCTTCATGTTGCCCTTTTATTTGAAAAGTTGAACTTTTCCTCTGTGTCAGGCGCTCGGCTGGCCCGTTCCGACGTTTGTATACTCGAAAAGTGCAAGTCGTGGGCCGCTGATGGATTGTCTCTACTTTTGGGAACAGAGGAAAGTCTAAAAGTGCATGCACTTTACGTTTTTTTTTCGTGCGTGCCTGGCGGTGGCAGCCCCCTCGTTTGTTTAATTGACCTCTTACGTTCGCGTTCCTACTGTATCCCGATATTTTTTCGTGGGTGACGTTCGCTTTGTTTTCCTACTGTATTCTACTATTTTTAGACCTTTATTCTAGTCAATTCGCTAATTTGGCTTGCTTGATCATGATCTGCGCAAATTGGTCTCGGCACGAAAACTTTTGGCGGTCGGTTCGCCCTTTGAAACTTGATTTGTTTTTATTGCTTTCGCGCATTTTCGGCGTAAATTCTCAATTTGTACTCAAAAATGGTAAGTAGATCCGAAAATTTTATTTTTTTTTTGTAACGTAACATTTTATCGGGCTTGTTATCACCGTTTCTCACTCCTCTAATTTCAGGCTGCTGTTCTATTTTTCCCCCTGGAAAGCACTCCCCGTGGTTGCGGCGACTTCAAGACATGCCCGGATGGGGCCCGTTGTTATCGAGCGTATGAGTAAGTTTTTCTCCTTTGCTTTTGTGATTTTTTTTTTTGCATTTTTATCTTTTTGGCCGTAAATTTATTTTTTGGATATGAAAATAGTGAATTTTATATGTTTTGGGTAAATTTTGTCCGAAAAATGTCGAAAATTGGCCTTTATCTGTAACAAAACATGAGTTATTCCCCTATTTTTTTTTGATAACAAATTTCCATGTATAATATCGGTGTTTTAACTGACCTGATTTTTAGCTCGCCTGACGCTTTCTCCTGCTTCCCGGTCGGAATGGATCCAACTTCGACTGGCATTCTCGAGGGCTTGGCGCCATGCAATTGTCTCTCCGCCTTTTGGATTGGACTGCTCGTTGTCCTGGCCGTTCTGTTCGGTATCATCTTGGGATGTGGTGGCTTTTGGAGTTGCCGCTGGTATAAGAAGTACCGTGCTGCCAAGAAGATCGACCAAGTGGAGGTGGCTGATGACCCTGAGCCGACGTTGTTGTTCTGATCGGGTAATTGTTATGCTGAATTCTTTTCCTTTTCTTCTCTTTTCAGGTTGTATTTTACTGAATAAATAAAAATTTTCTTGTTTGTGTCAGTCTAAGATTTTGAAGAACGGTTGAAAGCCGGCGGGGACATGGAAAAGCCAAAAAAAAATGGGTTAGGGAGGGGGGAGGGTGACGGTTTTTGGGCTGCTTGGTTATCCTGATTTTACTCGTGTTTTCCTTGAGAGATTTTGTTAGTAGGCGTCCCCACTATACTAGTTCTACTCTGAAAAGTCGAGTGGTACAGATATCCCCTGAGTCTCTGAAGAAATACCTTTGTTTTGGAGTCTTATTTTACTTTACTATGAACCAATTTGGTTTCCGTGATCGATTGGGTAGAGATTTCTGCAAAACGCGAATTCCCACAAAATGTTAATAATTAAAATCTTCCCTTTTTTCGACACGGCGGTCTCAGTCTTTGGCCGACCCTCGCGACGGGTGCTGAAACCTCGATGAACTCCTTGAACTTCTGAGTCATATCTGAAAATATATTACTTCGCGCGCGCGAGAAAACTTCTGTTATTATAAAATTTGTGGGACTAAATGAAGGTAATTTCTTTAGGAAGGAGGGGCCGTTCTCCGTGTAAAAGATGTCGCTGGAATCTGGAAAGAGGGTAGGTGGGACCTCCAGTTGTTATAAGTCGGATACCCCTCTGAAAGGTACGACTCTTGTACTCACCTGCACCGGGGAGAGCGTCTTCAGTCTTCCCCGAGTTCTCCTCTTAGCCCATCCAGGGTGACATCAGCGGATACTCAAGTTAACGGGGTCTATTCTTATACTCGACCTACACTTACAATCTTCCAATCAATTACAACAATTATGTTTATTTAAAAGCTACCGTATACAAATAGACTAAAGTCCCCTTTCAAAGTACGTTCCCCTTCTTCCCCCCCTCCGTTCTTTTTGGAACGGGGTCAGACTTAAATATTGAGAGAGGGAAAAGGGGCGGGGTCGGACGCACGGCGGTCGCACGCCGTAACACTAATTCACTTTTTTTCTAAACACTTTTCTAGTATAATATCAAAGTTTTTCGCTCGCTACCGGCGTAATTTGACTCCAAAAAAGCTGAAACTCCGCATTCTGAAATCTCATTCGATTATGGTTCGAACGGTGTATGCCACGTCCCTTCACTCCGACATCGCTAATTCACTTTTTTCTAAACACTTTTCTAGTACAATATCAAAGTTTTTCGCTCGCTACCGGCGTAATTTTACTCCAAAGAAGCTGAAACTCCGCATTCTGAAATTTCATTCGATTATGGTTCGAACGGTGTATGCCACGTCCCTTCACTCCGACATCGCTAATTCACTTTTTTTCTAAACACTTTTCTAGTACAATATCAAAGTTTTTCGCTCGCTACCGGCGTAATTTTACTCCAAAGAAGCTGAAACTCCGCATTCTGAAATTTCATTCGATTATGGTTCGAACG